CAAAACATTTTTGAAAATTAAACAAATACTAATATTAGTTTGTCTCCAACCGACGATTTAAAAACCTGCCTGCTATCAGTCAAAGTAATCAGAAGACACGCGATGAAACCATTTGTAAACATCAAACTGATGAAAAAAAGTTCAGATTTTTTCACATAAGTCAAAAATATACAAAGTTTGGAAGAACCAAAACAAATACGATTGAACAAACAACATACTTTACCTGAAAAAACTGGCAACGTTTTTTAAAACACTAAAATATTGAAAAAGATAAATTACTGAGAAACAATTTAAAAACAATTCAAATATTTAACATTCAATTATTTTGCTCAAAAAACACCGAGTGAAACAAAGAGGTAAAAAAAACAAGAAACAGACACTGGCTAGGAACAATCAAATAATTTTGAAAAGTTCTGAAGCCACAAGCAAACGTCGATTTTACTTCCTAAAAAACAACTCCAATTGGACAAAAACTACTACCTGAACTTAAAAAAAAAACTAAATTGTTTTAAAAAAAAATTTATAGTTGATTCTTTATTGTTTTCAATGCATTGAAACTACAAAAAACTAATGGAATAGATTAAATGTATTAGTAAAACTAGCCGTTAGCAACTCAAGTTAACAGTGAAACAACAAATTTTGTGTTTATTTAATTCTGATTTGAAAGACCTGCAGGCTCGCTTGGCCCCCAGCACCCCTCCCCCTAAATCCGCTTCTTGAGAAAAATTTGAGATCAAGGTAAAAAGAAATATTGAAAATAAAAGTATTTCTTTTGCGAGACTATTTTGATTTCAAATGTTTTCCTGGTCCTATTACTCCATAAAAAAGTTCTCGTATAATTGCGGATGGATTATTTTTTATTTTTGACCTAAAAAGCTCTTCTATAATTTTTGCCATCTTGAAAAACATTTTTTTTGGGAACAATGGAATGAAATAGATACTGTTACCTTTTTTCTATTCATAGCTGTCAACAACTCGTTGGTAAAATAATTGACGGAGCAAAAATAAGAATACAAGCATAGATAAACCGATGAAAAGTACCTTCTTTAAAGATACTTTCACGTAGGATTATATTACCATACCCATAAAAGAAAGGCATTCAAAAGGTACTTTTTTCATTGTTGAGACACGGAAATACCTATTTTATTAGGGGTACCTGCAAATGCTTACATAAAATAGCCATGCAACTGTTGTTGCTTTGTTTATATGGTATATTTTTCAGGAAATTAAAGGGTTACCGAACTCTTGTAGTATCAAAATTAATTGAAACTCTCCGATTTCAAATTGCAAACAATATGGCTAATTTTAGAGCAAAACCCCAGAATGTTTCAACAGTATACATTGCTTTTTTAACAAACAAAGCTCTTTTTTTTAGGTCAACATACCTTAATTTTTTTGTAAAGGCAACTTATGCCCGTTTTAAAAATTTGCCTGCAGCGCTAAATTATGTTATAGGAGAGTACAGAAACCTTGTTTTTTTTTCAAAAACCTACATCCATCGATAAAATCTTGGATCCTCCCCTGATCAAGATGGGTTTTTAGACATCAAAATCCTTTGAATGTTTTTTGCTAATTTTTACCAATTCAAATGAAGTTTCGTACCTGTGTTTTATCAAATAAGAAAAATCAGCGACTCGATTATTTCAAAATTTAAGAAAAAATCTAGAAAACGAATAAAAGAGTTGATATTTTTCCAGAAAAAAACTTTTAGATCTCTTTTCCAAATTACGGCCAACTTAATAGTAATGTTTGACTGAAATTGAGGCAAAAATTAAAAATTGGAATTTATAATAATTTAATAAACGGCGATATTGTTGCCGATTTGAATTGAGTGAAATTTGTCGTCTAATTTTGTATAAAAAACCGAAAATTGGCAGTCTTCAAGCGATTAAAACAACAATCTCAAGAACCACTAAGCAGTTTTGAGCAGCATAAAAATTGAGAAAAAAAGGGGCAATTCAAGAATTTTCTTGAGGAGTTCAGAACGCTTAAAATAATGTTTGGTCAATTTTTTCTCGAGCTACCAAAAACTAGGGCTTTTTCAGTAAAAATTTACGCCGCGGGGATTTTTCTGAAACAAAGACCAAAAACGACCTTTTTGGAATTTTTATTGAAAGTTTTTTCAAACATAACAAAAAATTTTCTTTTAAGTTTTTTAACCAGAACAAGAAAATTTTAGACAATTTTTTATCTTTTTCAAACAATAAAAAATAGATCGTTCTTGTGGAAGTAGCACAAAAAATTGTGATTCATTTGCTTCGCTGAAAAAAAAACATTCCTTAAAAGAGCAAAAAAAAAAGCGAAAGAGAGAAAATTTTCAATGAAAAATCGATTTTGCTTTAAGATTTGTTTGTGAGGGTATGATAGAGGAATGTATCGTGAGTTTGCGGAAAATTGTTTCGACATTTCAATTGATGAATGTCAAATTAGCTTAAGGCGAGGTTCAATAAAAAGAATTATTGATACATAGAGAGAATTAATCAACGATTGAAAACAAAATATTAAAATAACAAAATGTCTTCGGTTAACCGACCTTTTATGCAGAGTTTTTCTTCATTGAGTCAATATTTTTCATATAAATCTCTTATGCAGTTGATATGCTTCACGTATTTTTTTTTGCAAATTTTTCTAATTAAAATAAACATGACTGCTCGTATCAAGGTGAAGCCCTGTATGTTCCGACTGACTTATAAGGTCTATGGAGCATTAGTAATATGAAAAAACTAAAAGCAGAAAAACATAACGAATGTTTTCATTTGGAATATTTTAAGAAAATCATCCCCCACACGCCATATAAAGCACAAAAAGATAAACTTTGCTCCTAGTATCAAATCAAATATGACAAATAAGCTTTTTTCAACCAATGCGGAACGATATCGAAGACGAAATAATTTTCTGCTCATGCGTTAATAGCGCGAAATATATCGCGCGTTAATTGTCACAAATGGGCAAAAAAGGCAATCTTTAAACCCCCTTACTTCGCAAAAAAATGACCACAGGTGAGTTTTATTTTCAAATTTTTGCTCAAGACAACAATGTCTATTGAATGACATAGAAATTTTGTCACAAACGGATAGTCAAAAAGTCGAAGTTTGTCTGAAGAAGAAAACCCACGCCAAGCACAAAAGTTCCGTTTCAAAAGTCGGAACAAAACTTCAAGAAGGATTTGTAATCTGTTTTCTCTAAATGGCACACAGCAGTTAAAAACCCCTTGATGAAAATTATGTTATTGCAAGGAGTTTAAAAAGCTTTTAAAGCTGCATATTAAAATTATATGCGTCAATAACCGGAAATGAGAACGTCATTTTTTACGATATTGAAAAAAAAATTATAGCTCTTGGGATTAACACCGAAAATAATGTTCTTTGCTTTGAATGTTCTTTAAACTTGTCTGTTGTACCTTTTGGCTACAAAAATTGAAACTTTTAGATGAAATTGATTGAAATTTTTTCTTAACACGCAACCCACGCAATTCAATATATTTAACCCACTAAGCTTGCATAAATGCAGTTAAGACAAAAAATTGACCTGGGTTGTTTTCAACATCTACGCTATGCTCTAGTGAGAAATTGGAAACGGCGCACTTTAATTAACTCTGATAGGCTACGAGAAATTTTCAAACCTGTCATAATTTTGTAAAAATTGGTTTCAGGTGAATTTTTTTTTCGTAAGTTTAGCTTAGATCATCTAATTTTTCCAGATGGTTTAAAAAATAGCCTGACGAAAAATGTTAGTAGGAAATTTTTGAAAATCGGAACAATGAACAAAAAAAAATGTTAAACTATACGGAACGTGAAAAAATTGAAGTCATATCTTGCAACTTAAATTAATTCGAAAACATTTTATATCTGACAGCTAGTGTAGAGCAGGGGCGGATCTACGACTTTCTCGAAGAGGGGGGAGGGGGGTTTCAAATTTTTTCAACAATTTAGTCTATATTTTTATGCTAGACTAAATTGGTTTTCTGAGCTGTTCCAGAGCAGTAAAAAGACCACGTTTGGGCCAAATTGTCTGCACCGCAGACAAATCGTTGAAAAAAGGCGTTTCGCGGTTTTTTTTCGGCGCGCACTTCCCCCTCACTTTTAATGAAAGTTGGCGCCGAAGGCTTCCTTAGAAAAATTAAAATTTGAGTGTCCGTCAGCCAAAACTAGATGTCTCAAAATAGTATAAAGGCGGAAACCTTTGGGTTGGCAAAAAGACGGATATTCCCCCGCAACGAAGTACGCAAGAAACACTTGTAAGCAAGTTTTTTATAACTAACATCCGCAAAATAAAGAAAAAATAAACAAAAAAACTTATTAACAAAACTCTTAAAATATAAACAAAACAGTTTGTAAAAATGATTGAAGAAAGCGAGAAAACGTACACCATGTTCGTCAAAAAGAACATATTACCTAAAATTACAGCTAGTGTAACGAACAAAAGCTCCTAAAGTTTTGTATATGTATCCAGTATTGCAAGATACACGTCTCCTGCTTGGTCAAAAGGACTGACTGTTTTATTTTGAACAAAATTTGACTTTTTGTTTTCGAAACTTTAATTGTTCTCATTTTTCACTTGTGCGCAACCATCAATTTGAATAGTTATCGTTTTATGTTTTGCCACTGAGCAAAACAAATAAACGGTTTTCAGTTTTAGGTTAAATTCTTGAATCTTACTTCACCAAACAAATCTGTTGGTATGATTTATAAAAACAACAAGGCAGAAGCACTACTAATTTTTGTAAAAAACTTCAAATGTGCCTTTTCGTAGCTTAAACCTTTTAATTTCTTAGCCTACTTTGACAAAAAAAATATAAAGCTTTTCTCGTGCCCATTTTCAGTTAAATTTAAAAACGCGGTTAATTTCTCCACCATTAACTGTCTTTTAATTTATCAAAGTAATAAAAAAACTTGGAAAATATGAAAAAAAATCTCGAATGTAAATACTACTATTACGTATTTCATACACGAAAATTGATTTTTTTAATTATCAATTTAATTTTCTGAAAATACCCTTACCATTTTTTAAAATGATTTCACAAACTTGATGTCGATGAACTGCGATCATTAATGAGGTTAAGAAACAGTTGGTAAAAGATAAGCATTAAATCCACTGGTTGGGTTTTAATTCCCATTTAAATCGCTAAATTGAGTCTGAATAAACGAACGGCAGTTGCAAAAATGGGATTTAATTACTATTTGTCCACTCATTAGTTGAAATTTATATAAAGTTTATTTGTTTACCAACCCCAGGCGGTTGAGTTATGTCAACAATACTCCAACAAAGCGAAAAAAAGTGTCACAATTATCGTCAATTCCCGCTGAGAAAAGTAAGAAAATAAGCGAAATTGGGGGAAAATGGGGAAAATGAAAATATGTAAAGTACACGGCAGGAAATATACAAATAAAGTAATATACATGCACACCTTTCAGTTTTCAGCACCAATGCGCCGTTTCTTTTTTCGATTTTTTGCTTATTTATTTGTATTTGTTTTTTTTTCAATCATCAATTTCTCTCCCATTGTGGTTGTGTTTTCAATCTATACCATCCTATTATACCCGCTTTCAACCCTTCATCCGTAAAAAGAAAAAGGTGAAAGCGAGCCCCATAATCAAATAAATAATCAATATAACTCAGTTTTGTTGGTGATGTTACTACTTTTTAGGAGAGCATATGGAATCTAGCGCCACTTACTGTTTTCCCCTTTTTTCCGCTTGTTTAAGTTTCGCCCCAAAATGTATTCTTTTAAAGGAAATAAGCTATCAATTATTTGATCCACTTTTTGGCACCTTTATGATGCTGGAAAGAAATGCTTCCCAAATTGGTCTATAAAAATACAGAAAAAAATCGAGAAAACAATATTTCCTAGTTCACATAGAAAACCAATCCCTGCTCAAACAACAAAAAACAGCTGCTGTGCAAGTAGAGCTGAAAATTCCGACCATATTAATAAAAGCTAGAAAAAAAAATCTTTTTTTTCAGATGAGCGTTGCATGATTTGGAGAACGAAATGAAAGCTTATGAAATTAGTAAAATAGCAAAATTCGACTACAGTTTTACTTTTTAAATAATCGACTTTATTTAAAAAAATTTTTGCATCCTATTTTTTGATTTAGAATAAAATTTTTTAATGTTAGGAAAACGCTTAATGAATTTTTTTGTGGCTTCAATACTATGCTTTACGCTATTACAACACCTATAAGCTCAAAATTAGGTTAAGAACAAAAAATTTCAGGATAATCAATTCAGGACTGAAAAGGTTTTATAGATGATATATAACTCGACCCATTCTGAAATTTATTTGAAAACCTGATTATGAAAAAAACCGAAGACAATTTTTTCCCCAATCTCAGTAGTCAGAACAACAAATTCAAAGACAATGCCAAAATGTTGGCAAAATTGGAGACTATGAGCAGCTTCATTAGTCAAAACTAGCGCCTTTTGATTTTTTTTGTTTTCTTGACACTTAAAAAATTGAATAGATAAACCACCATTGTCCAAGAAAGATTGAGACAAATTGCGACGGAGGTAACAATCAAAAAAGGGTAGCTGGTTAAAATATAAAAAGCTGAAGTTATTTTGACGCCTTATATTTATACAAAAACTTGAAAAAAAAACATTATTTACTGAATGCTTGATTTTCCTGTTTTTTTTATTGACGAAAATTAATAAAAAAATTCCAGAAACTAGATAATTATAAGTTAATTGCAATTCAACTACACTTTTTCAAACCAGTCATCTGTTCAAGGTATTGACACATTAATTTCAAGCTTTTTTAAATTATCTGAATCAGGACTGAAAGGAGTTTAATATGGTATCACAACTGACAGTTAGTGAGCTATTTTAAAGTATCTCAAAGTGGTCAGAAAAAAATACAGCCTTTTTTACAGTTTCATCCTACTCTACGAGATTGGTTGGAACACCAGTCACGTTTTAAATATTTTCAGCAGCTAGAAAAAATCAAAGTCAACATTGTATTAACAAAAACAAAACTTTCAGAGCAATAAACGAAGCACATTCTTTTACACGGATGCAAAGTAGAGCTTTGCACCACTTGCGATGGAAAAAAAATATTTTTCAAGAAAAAAAAACAGATTCCAAAAGTTGTCGCAAAACATTTTTGAAAATTAAACATATAACAATATTAGTTTGTCTCAAACTGACGATTTAAAAACCTGCCTGCTATCAGTCAAATTACTCAGAAGACACGCGATGAAACCATTTGTAAACATCAAACTGATGAAAAAGAAAACAAGTTCAGGTTTTTTCACATAACTCAAAAATATACAAAGTTTGGAAGAACCAAAACAAATACGATTGAACAAACAACATACTTTACCTAAAAAAACTGGCAACGTTTCTTAAAACACTAAAATATTGAAAAAGATAAATTACTCAGAAACAATTTAAAAACAATTCAAATATTTAACATTTAATTATTTTGCTCAAAAAACACCGAGTCAAACAAAAAAACAATTCAAATATTTAACATTTGTTTCGTTTGCTCAAAAAACACCGAGTCGAACAAAGAGGTAAAAAAAACAAGAAACAGACACTGGCTAGGAACAATCAAATTTTTTTGAAAAGTTCTAAAGCCACAAGCAAACGTCAATTTTACTTCCTAAAAAACAATTCCAATTGGACAAAAACTATTACCTGGACTTCAAAAAAACTAAAACTGAATCGCTTTTAAAAAACTTTTATAGTTGATTCTTTATTGTTTTCAATGCATTGAAACTACAAAAAACTAATGGAATAGATTAAATGTATTAGTAAAACTAGCCGTTAGCAACTCAAGTTAACAGTGAAACAACAAATTTTGTGTTTATTTAATTCTGATTTGAAAGACCTGCAGGCTCGCTTGGTCCTAAATTTTCATTTAAGAAAAAAAACTGAAAAATCGAATGTCGAAAAACTCAGAAAATGAAACAAAAAAATGTGCAAGAACCAACGAGCTACTTTATCAGCACTTTAAAAAAACACAATAATTAGCAATCGAAAGAAACAAAAACTATTTTTTCTATGCAAACTAAGAAAAGTTAATAGAAAAAATGAACCTTTATTCAAAAAAAAATTTTGAAAATTTTTTCCAAAATTTTTTTGAAAATTTCTTATGTTTAGTTTTTTCACTTTTTAAATGAGGTGTTGATTTGACCTTTTCCAAAACTTCATTTGAAAATGCAATCACTTCCGTATAATACCAACGGAAGTTATTGGGGAAAAAATATTCTGAAAATAAGCCGACGAAATTAACGCCGCCTTCTTCAAGCGCCGAAATTCTATCAAAAAATTTAGGCCCAGAAAAACTCTTAAAAATTTTTTGATTTGCACCCAAAACCCACACCTTATATCCAATCCCTACAAAAACCATGGGCATATTGATTTGAAATGATTACCATTTTGTTCATTCTGTGAACAAAGTTCCTTATGAGAAAAAAGTCTAGAAAACGATTGCAATATACTAGCTTGCTTGTCGCAAGCGTAATCAAAATTAAAGGCTTGTAGATTTCAATAATTCATCAATTAATAGAAAAAAATAGCCCATTGCGCTGCAAATAGCACAAAATGTTCTGAACAAATTTAATTGAAAAACAAATTCAAGGAGAAAGAAGTTCTCTGAGAAAGAAGTTCAAAGAAATGAAAAGAAAAATCTAATAAAAACAATTTAAACATAAAAAAATTTTGTATTTCTTGGACAAAATGCCATCGAATCAGATAAAAAAAATCAGATTATAACTGATATCAAAAAATCAAAAATACTCAGACCAGCTTTCTTGACACTGAGACAATTTTTTAACAATTTTTTAGAACTTCAATCGCAACAAATAGGGCTTTTATATGATAAGACAACTGACCCTCTTGAATTGTTTTTTGAAATAATTAAAATTTGCTAGAAAAAACTTCAAAACACGGGCTTTGTTCCATAGTTCTTTTCCACGTCAAAATATTCCGGAACAATAATAGGCTTCATAGGGCAAAAAAGCGTGCGCAAAAAAAAGAGTTTAAATTTATTCTAGCCAATAGGAAATCAGTGAAATTTTTTTGGAAGAATTAAGAAAAAACTCAATAAGCTTTTGATAAATTAAAGGACGCTGGTTGAACAAATGTTTGCTACCACATGTCCGCCCTTGGGTAGCAAGAATAGCCCGTTCCACATAATTTTTTCAACAATTTTGCACAAGTATCACTTTGACTTATCTTACAGGTGCTACAAAATAGCTCACAGGCAAGTTTAAATGTGAACCGTGATAAAATTCATTGCAGAATGAAATTAGGAAATGCGGATTCAAAAACACTAGATTCGAAAGAAAAAATAAGAATTGGAGCTATTTCTCGGTTTAAGGTCGCCGGTGGGCGCGCTATGCGCGCGTCGCCTCTTTGCGGCGATAACCGGCTCTAAATTTTGTATAGAGTCCTACCCTCTGCAGGCAAGCTCGCAACACGTTGGCGCGACTGCGGCGGTCACTATTATTGGCTGAATTGTCTCTGGCTGAATTGTCTGCATACTTTTGGCTGAATTGTCTGAATTTCAAATCGGCTGAATTGTCTTTGGCCGAATTGTCTGGACGCGCCTTTAACACTGATGTCTCATGAATAACAATAGATTGGAAAAAAATTGAAAATTCTCGTCTTAAATTTTAAAAATATAATCGTCCATTTTAGCTGAAACTTGTTCACTCTAACAAATTTCAACCCTTGTTTTTTATTGACGTGTCGCAATTATGCAAAACGTTTGGCCGGGTTTCAAATTTTCTGCTGTGAGCTCAGATGCCTTGAAAAATAAACAGTAGTGTAGTTTTTTAGTGTAGCCCAAAGAATGTTGATTCAACCTCGAAATTTTTTTTCGAACTATAGCAAAAAATTGTAGCAGCATTGAGATAACCATGGCATTTTTTCTATACAGAGAGCATCTTGTTGACGTCACAGTTTTGTCTAAATTAGATTTCTGCGAATTCAGCGACCTGAAAAAACAAGCTCTCGGTTGAACAACTGTTTGAGCACCTATAAATTGAATGAAAGCACATGAACGAAAATAAAATACCAAAAAATACGATAATTCAAAGCGGAGCTGGCACATAAAACTTTGAATAATAGAACTTTATACCAAAATGTTCAGACTTAAATTTTTACAACAGTTGCAAAGAAAACTTGATTTTTAAGTTAAAAACCTATTATTTGAATAGACAAGGAAATGAAAGATTTTTTAAATATTCTAAAAACTTTCTAAGAATAGAACTGCTCGAAATATTTTTTCAGTTTTCGAGCAGTTTGTTATAGCTTTTTTTGGATCAAACATTCTCTTCTGGCATCCAAAAAATCTTAACCACCATTTCAGATTAATTAAAAAAATGAATGTCAGAATCAGGGGCGGATCTAGGATTTTCTCGAGGGGGGGGGGGGGGCGGATTTTCAAAAAATTTTCGAAAATTTTGACG